CGCGGCCCGAGCCCGAGCGGAGCCGAACGGAGCCGCCACCGCCGCCGATGGGCCCCTGAGCCGCCGCCGCCGCCGCGCCCGGGCGGCCATGAAGCCGCTGGAGAAGTTGCTGAAGAAGCCGGGCTCGCACCTGCCCGTCCGCCCCGCCGCCCCCCCGGGGCAGGTACCGGGGCCGGGGTCGGTGCAGGCGCCGCGGCGGCAGAGCCTGTCGCGCCCGCCCGCCTCCCCCGAGGAGCCGGCGGGGCCCGCGGGGCCGGTACCGGGGGGCGAGGGCCGCTGGCTGGAGCTACGGCCGCCCGAGGCGCCGCTCCGCTCCCCTGAGGACCCGTCACCGGGCTGCGACCGCGATCGGGACCGGGACCGGGACAGGGAGCCGCCGAGCCCGGAGCCGCCGCCCGCCGCCCGGTGCTGCTGCGGCTGCGGCTGCGCCCCCGCAGCGCCCGCGCCCCCCGAGCGGCTCCTGGCCGCGCTCCTCGACCGACTGCCGGCGGCTGCACACGGGAGGGGCTGCGGGGCAGGTACGGGGCTGCGGGACCGCCGGGACGGGCTGCGGGGAGCGCGGGGAGCGCGGGCGATGCGGCGGAGCGGGGAGAGACCGGGACCGGGGGCGGCCGCTGCTTGCGGGGGGGATGCGCCGGTGGATGCTGGGGTGGGGGACAGCGGGGTGGGCGACACTCGTGCCCGGTGAGGCGGGTGGCCCTGCACAGGGCACAGCGGCGCACGGTGGGGGTGACAAGGTCAAAGCGGGGTCCCCGCCGGGGCAGGGCTGGGTGGCAGAAGGTGAGCAGGGATCTGTGGGGTGGGCAAGAGAGCACGGCAGAGGGGCTGGCAAGGGGATGCGGGCTCAATGGCAGCGCCAGCTCGGTGGGGGCCGGGGGTGGCCGGGCACCGGCAGTCACTGCAGCATCCACCTCCCGGTTGGATGGTCCTCAACATCCTCCTGGTGCTAAAATTAGCCCCGACGGGAGCTGCAGTGCAGGGGGGGCCGGTTGGATGCCCCTTTCCCTGGCACAGGCCTCTCGGTGCTGTCCCACCGTGGCTGCCCGTGCCCAGGTGTCGCGGTGGTTTCGGTGTCAGGGCTGGGCGGGAGCCAGGCTGGGTGCAGGTGGGTGGGAGCCTTCCCACACCGCGGGGATCCCTGTCCCGGCCAATCCCCCTCGGCTGCCGGGAACAGAGGGCGTTGAGGACCCCAGGCCACTGCCAGCCCCCTGCTCCAGTGATGCCAGGGCCGGGATTGGGTGCAACCACCAAGAGGAGCCCTCGGGTAGGGGCGAGCTGGGACTGGCAGCACCAGGTCCTGCCTGCACAAGCACGCTGCCAGGCCTGGTGGTGCCCGGGCTGGCAGGGAGCAGGGGGGCTGGAGCCAGCACGGGGGTCCCAACACAGGAAAACATCCCTGTGAGTCTGGGGTACAGCGTGAGTGCTGCAGAGGGGTGGGGAAACTGAGGCAGGACTGGAGGGATGGGGGAGTGCTCAACTCCTGCCCCACAGGCAGAACCTGGGAGGGAGCTGCACTCAGGGCAGGGGGCTGGGAGAGCTGGGGGCTGTGCCCCTGCACCCCCGTGCTGCCGGTGCCCCTGCCTGTCCCTGTGCCCCAGACTGCCTGTCCTGCTTTCAGCAGCAGCTGATGCCCCCTGGGTGCCGTGCCCAGGGGATCCTCTGCCCTGGCCTGGCACTGCTCCGTGACCGGGTTAACGGACTGGGCAGTGCCTGGGTGGATGCTCTGCATGGCCCCTCCGTGGGTCAGCTCCTTGGGCTTTGGATGGGCTCTGGGGTCCCACCACAGGACCCCCGGGGCATGAGGGCAGTGCAGGTGCCGGGCACAGGGAGGGAGCGGTGCCCCGTCCAATGCTCACAGCGGTGACTGATGCCAGCTCTGACGGGCACAGATGCCGGTACCGAGCCCTCGGCTCACCTGGCCTCGCCAAAACACCTTCACAGGGCGGTGCCACCCGCGCTGCCCCGCAGAGCCCGGCTGTGCCACCCGCCCAGTGTGCCCCAAGCTGCCTGCCTCAGTTTCCCTTTGCCGTGTCCTGCTGTGCCCGCGGCCGGGCTCTCACGGGGCTCCCGGGTGTGCCGGGGCGTCGCGGCCCCGGTCCCGCCCTGCCGGCGCCTCTGCCCCCACACCGGCTCGGCCGGGCCCGGTTGCCCCGGGGCTGGGAGCGGGCCCTGAGTCAGCGCCGGCGCGGGGGGGTTCGCGTGGGGCCTCTCCCGGTGTCACCCCGCGAATTACCACCGCTCCCCTCACCCAGCCGCCCCGCCGGGCATGGGGGGGGTGTCGGGGGGCTCTTTGGGGAGGGGGTGTGACCATGCCTGTCCCCCGTGTCCCCCCAGAGTCGCTGCTGGATGACATTGTGCTCACCCACTCGCTGTTCCTGCCCACCGAGCGCTTCCTGCAGCAGCTGCACCAGCAATATCCTGGGGGGCCACGGGGGTGGGCACGAGGGGGGCACTGGGGTGCAGTGAGGGTGGGAACAAGGGTGCTGTGAGGGGTTGGGTGCAATGGGGAGGTGGCCGAGGCTGAGTGGGGCAGGAGGGGTCCTGGGATGGGCATGAGGAGGGTATTGGGGTGCAGTGAGGGTGGGCATAACGGGGCCATGAAGGGGATATGAGCTGGCGTGAGTGTGCAACCAGGAGGGCACCAGCATGGGCACCAGGGTGCCGTGGAGCTGGCATGGAGCTGGCACAAGGGTGACAAAACGGTGGGCATGGGGGTTGCAAGGAGAAAGGGGGACGTGAGGAGGGCAGCGGGGGTGCTGTGGGTGGGCTCACAGGAGCAGCAAGAAGGGGATTGGGGTGCCATGAGGGTGGGCTATGGGTCTGGGGGCAAGATGGGCAGTGTGGTGCTACCAGGGAGGGCACAACGACCCTCAGTGAGGTCCCTCGGTGCGGCGGGTGCTGGGGGGTGGCCGAGGGTCCCTCCTTGCCGTGGCACCTCCTTGACAGTGCCACCTTCGTGCTGGCGGCGGGCAGCCCCCCGGCGCGCTGGGAGGAGGGCTCGGGGCTGCGGCGCAAGCGGGCGGTGCTGGCCGTGCTGCTGCACTTCCTCGAGACCTACAAGGGGCTGCTGCAGGAGGAGGAGAGCGCCGGGAAGGTCATCAAGGTGGGTGTCCCCTTCCCCTGTCCCCCCCCTCAGTCTCCGGAGTCCTGGCCCTGAGCCCTCTCGCCCCACAGGAGCTTTACCTGCTCATCATGAAGGACACGTCGCTGTACCACGAGCTGGAGGACGAGATCATCAAGCTGCACCAGCTCGTGGAGACTGTGGAGCTCAAGTGAGAAGAGGGTCAGGGGGTGCCTGGGGTCAGGGGTCTCTGGGAGGATCAGGGGTCATCCTCCCAGGGGTTCCCAGGGAGGACAGGGTGTCTGGGGTCCCTGTGGGACAAGGTTTGCTTGGTCTTGAGGTTTCCTCTGGGTCGGGAGGTCCTTGGGGAGGGCAGAGGATCCTGGAAGTCCCTGTGGGTCAGGAAGTTCCCAAGAAGGACAAGGAGTTGTGGCCCTTGGGGGTGCCCAGGGGCTGGAGGGGTCACCCTGGGGAGGGCAGAGGATCCTGGGTCAGGAAGTTCCCAAGAAGGACAAGGATGGGCATGAGGAGGGTGGGGGTGCCCAGGGGCTGGAGGGGTCACCCACACTGGTGCCCTCCTGCTGGCACCTTCACATCCAACTTTGTGCCCTCACCACACGCAGCCTCGGACCCCTCCTCCTGTGCCCTCTTTCCTCCTGTGCCCACCCTCCTCCTGAGCCCACCCTGCAGTCTCGGGGTGCAGCCCCGGGGTCTGGGGCCCTGCCTGAGCCCTGTGCTGTGCCCCCCAGGGTGGCCGACGAGACACCCCCCCCGAACAAGCAGGTGAATCCCGGTACTGACCCCAGCCTGTGCCCCCCGGCAGAGAAAGCGGTGCTGCAGCCCAGCGAGGAGTGCGTGTTCACCACCCTGGGCATCAACAGCCACCTCTTCGCCTGCACCAGGGACACCCTGGACTCCCTGGTGAGCCCCGCCGCGGGGACACCCCAACACCTGGCACGGCCATCGCTCCCTGTGCCCAGCAGGGCGACCCGGGGGGACCCTGCCAGCCCTGAGCGCCCCGGCCGGTGTCCCCTGGCAGGTGCCACTGCCCGAGGAGATCCAGGTGGTGCCGGGAGACACCGAGATCCACCGAGCCGAGCCCGAGGACGTGGCCAACCACCTGACAGCCTTCCACTGGGAGCTCTTCCGCTGCATCCACGAGGTCCGGGGGGCCGGGGGTCCCAGGGGAACGCGCGTGTGGGGTTCACGTATTCCCTGAACAGAGAAACACGGAGTTCTCTCTCTCGGGGTTTTCCTGAGATGCTGTGAGGAAGCTCACAGGGAGAAGAAAAACAATTCTTGTCTCCATTGCTGCGCTTGCTGTTTGGCACACGTGGAATGTGTTACGGAGACTGTTTGCTAAAAGGGATTTGTTAGTTAGATTCTAGTGATAGTGGTTTTGTTTCATTTGACCAGTTGGAGCCATGTGTGTATTGGACTGTTGGGAAAAGATGTCAGTTTTTTCTTTAGTATAGTTATATATACAGTTATATATATATATATAATTTTTTTCTTTAGTACAGTTTTATATATATATATATATTATATTGTATTATATTATATTATATTATATTAGTATGTATTATTATTTTACAATATTAAATTAAGTATATTATGATAATTGTAATATATAATATGTTATTAATTATATAATATATATTATATAATATATATTATATAATTAATAACATATTATATATTACAATTATCATAATATACTTAATTTAATATTGTAAAATAATAATACATACTAATATAATATAATATAATATAATACAATATAATATAATACAACAATATTTTATATAATAATTATATATTATATAATAATTAAGAATATATTATATATATTATTGATTATAATATGTGTAATTAATATATATAGTTATATATAAAAATATATAATTAATATATACAATTAATATATATAATATATATTTTTATATATAATTTTAAATTAATAAATATAGTTTGCTACTATATCTCCGTGTCCCCCGCAGCTGGAATTCGTGGATTACGTGTTCCACGGGGAGCGGGGCCGGCGGGAGACGGCGAACCTGGAGCTGCTGCTGCAGCGCTGCAGCGAGGTGCAGCACTGGGTGGGCACCGAGCTGCTGCTCTGCGAGGGGCTGGGCAAGCGCGCCCACCTGCTCAAGAAGCTCATCAAGATCGCCGCCATGTGAGTCGGGGGGCACACGGGGGGCTGCCCGGGGGTCCCTGCGGCGCCCGGCCCGGCCCTGACGCTGTCCCCCTCGGCAGCTGTAAGCAGAACCAGGACATGCTCTCCTTCTACGCCATCGTCATCGGCCTCAACAACGCCGCCGTCAGCCGCCTGCGCCTCACCTGGGAGGTGAGCGGGGCTGCCCCGACCCCCGGCGTGCCGCCGCGGCTTCCTGCGCCCTTCTGAGCACCCCCAGCTGCTCCCTGACCCTTTCCTGGGGGGACCAGGGGTCACACAGCCCGGGGCGCCTGAGGAGAGCAGTCCTGTGGGGTCTGGGGTCTCTGTGGGACAAGGTTGGCTTGGTCCTGGGGGTCCCCCTGGGTCAGGGGGTCCTTGGAGAGAGCAGGGAATGTTGTCTGGGGTCTCTGTGGGACAAGGTTCCCTCAATGCTGAGGTTCCCCTTGGGTCAGAGGGTCCCTGGAGAGAGCAGGGAGTCCTGTGGGGTCTGGGGTCCCTGTGGGACAAGGTTTACTTGGTCCTGAGGTTCCCCCTGGGTCAGGGGGTCCCTGGGGAGAGCAGGGAGTGTCCTGTGGGTTCTGAGGTCTCTGTGGGACAAGGTTCCCTCAATGCTGAGGTTCCCCTTGGGTCAGGGGGTCCTTGGGCAGGGCAGGGAGTCCTGTGGGGTCTGGGGTCTCTGTGGGACAAGGTTCCCTCAATGCTGAGGTTCCCCCTGGGTCAGGAGGTCCCTGAGGAGGGCAGGGTGTCCTGTGGGGTCTGGGGTCCCTGTGGGACAAGGTTTGCTTGGTCCTGAGGTTCCCTCTGGGTCAGGGGGTCCTTGGGGAGGGCAGAGGGTCCTGGGGGTCCCTGTGGGTCAGGAAGTTCCCAAGAAGGACAAGGAGTTGTGGCCCCTGGGGGTGTCCCGGGGCTGGAGGGGTCACCCACACTGGTGCCCTCCTGCTGGCACCTTCACATCCAACTTTGTGCCCCCCTCATGCCCTCACCCTCTCCTGGGTGATCCCAGACCACCCCCGGGTGCTCCCAGGGCCCTCGGGGTGCCCGTGCCCACACCTGGCTGCTCCCAGACCTCTCCTGGGTTCTTCCAGACCCTCCTTGTGTGTTCTTAGAACCCCCCCAGGAGCTCCCTTCCCCCTCAGTACTCCTGGAACTTCTCTGGGTGCTCCTGGATGCTCCCAGAGCACCCCTGGGTGCACCCTGACACTGCCCAGGTGCTCCCAGGACCCTCAGGATGCCCATGCCCACACCTGGCTGCTCCCAGACCTCTCCTGGGTTCTTCCAGACCCCACTCTGAGTGCTCCTGGAACCCTCCAGCCCCTCTCACCCCCACCTCAGTGCTGCCAGGACCCCTCTGGGTCCTCCCAGACCACCCCTGGATGCTTCCAGACCTTTCTGGACACCCTCAGAGGCTCCCTGAGCCTTTCCTGGGCTCTCTCAGAACCTCCTGGATGCTCCTGCCCTCCCCTTTGGTGCTCCCTGGCCCTGCTGGATGCTGCCTACCCTCTTCCCTTTTTTTGCCTTCCAGAAGCTCCCAGGGAAATTCAAGAACCTGTTTCGGAAGTTTGAGAACCTGACGGTGGGTGAGAGGTGTGGGGGCTGCTGTGGGTGTTGGGGGGGGTCCCCAGGCCTCCCCTGGGGGTGTTTGGGGTGCTGGTGAGCAGGGGACATTCCTGAGGTGTCCCAGGGTGTCCTGGGGTGTCCCTGCCCCTCTCCTCCAGGCCACCAACCCCATACCCATGGCCACCAGCATGGGGGGGGGGCAGGGGTGAGGGAGGCACTGCTGGGGCTGGGGGGGCACTGCAGGGGAGCCCCACACGGCACCAAACCCGCAGTGCTGGCCCTGAGGGATGGGGATGTGGCCAGAGCATCCTCAGACCTCTTTGTCCATGTCCCTGCTTCCCTGTATCCTCATCCCTTCATCTCTCATCCCTGAATCCCTGTCTGCATCCCTGTCCCCACATCCCCATTCCCGCGTGGCCATTCCATCCCCATCCCTGTCCCTGCATCTCTTCCATCCTTCAATCCCCATTTTCACGTTGCCATCCCAATTTCCTTCCTTCATCCCCTCCATCCCCTCATCCCCACCACTGCCTTGCCATGCCTGCCTCCTTCCATCCCTCTTCTCCATCCCTCCATCACCATTCCCACACTGCCATCTCCCATCCCCATCCCTCCATCCCTGCCTCCCCTCCATGCCCATCCTCTCCATTCCCTCTCTGCTCTCTCCCATCCCTCCATCCCTGCCTCCCCTCCATGCCCATCCTCTCCATTCCCTCTCTGCTCTCTCCCATCCCTCCATCCCTGCCTCCCCTCCATGCCCATCCTCTCCATTCCCTCTCTGCTCTCTCCCATCCCTCCATCCCTGCCTCCCCTCCATGCCCATCCTCTCCATTCCCTCTCTGCTCTCTCCCATCCCTCCATCCCTGCCTCCCCTCCATGCCCATCCTCTCCATTCCCTCTCTGCTCTCTCCCATCCCTCCATCCCTGCCTCCCCTCCATGCCCATCCTCTCCATTCCCTCTCTGCTCTCTCCCATCCCTCCATCCCTGCCTCCCCTCCATGCCCATCCTCTCCATTCCCTCTCTGCTCTCTCCCATCCCTCCATCCCTGCCTCCCCTCCATGCCCATCCTCTCCATTCCCTCTCTGCTCTCTCCCATCCCTCCATCCCTGCCTCCCCTCCATGCCCATCCTCTCCATTCCCTCTCTGCTCTCTCCCATCCCTCCATCCCTGCCTCCCCTCCATGCCCATCCTCTCCATTCCCTCTCTGCTCTCTCCCATCCCTCCATCCCTGCCTCCCCTCCATGCCCATCCTCTCCATTCCCTCTCTGCTCTCTCCCATCCCTCCATCCCTGCCTCCCCTCCATGCCCATCCTCTCCATTCCCTCTCTGCTCTCTCCCATCCCTCCATCCCTGCCTCCCCTCCATGCCCATCCTCTCCATTCCCTCTCTGCTCTCTCCCATCCCTCCATCCCTGCCTCCCCTCCATGCCCATCCTCTCCATTCCCTCTCTGCTCTCTCCCATCCCTCCATCCCTGCCTCCCCTCCATGCCCATCCTCTCCATTCCCTCTCTGCTCTCTCCCATCCCCATCCCTCCATCCCTGTTCCCCGTTCCGTGCCCGTTCCCAGGCCTGGAGCTGGAGGCGTCCCCGGCCCAGCTGCAGACCAAGGCCTACGTGCGGCAGCTGCGCGTCATCGACAACCAGAACCTGCTCTTCGAGCTCTCCTACAAGCTGGAGCCTGGCAGCCAGTGAGGGGGGGCCCAGCCCGGGACCCCCAAACCCCGGCACCCCCCCGGGGGGCCCGGAGCCCCCCAGCACTGACGCACTTTGCCCAGCCCCGGCCCTTGGGTGCTGCCCCCACCCTTGGGGGGGGTGGGTTTGGGGACCCCCCTGGCGCATCCCCCTCTCCCCCTGCCCCCTCCCCTGGCTGGGGCACAGGGGCCCCTGGGGGGGCCATGTACCCCCCTCCATCCCCTCTATTTTTGTATGTGTGGCCAGCCCCCCTCCCCCCCACCAGACGTGTATATTTTGTACTGCCGCTGTCCGGAATTGTACATTTATTTTTTAAGAAAAAGGAGGAAAAAAAGGCAAAAAAAAAAAAAAAATCAAGCTGGGGACGGGGCGGGGAGCCCCAATAAAAGTCTGTCCCAGCACCTGTCTGTTATAGATGGATGGTTGTTTCTCACCTGTCTCTGATGTCATGCTAAGGATTGAGGTCATGGTGGGAGTGACGTCACAGCACCGCTGTCGATGACGTCACTGCACCGTCGCGGACAGGGTGGCGCCGACCTTCCCAAGATGGCGGCGGCGCGATGACAATCTTTGACCTTCTAAACATGGCGGCCACAAAGGTTTCCGGCGCCTTCCCAATACGGCTGACCTTCTCAACATGGCGGCGGGGGGAGGGGCGACGGGACGGGACAGGAGCCACAGCCCTGCTCTGTCGGGGCATCACGGGCCTTCAGCAGCGTTTCGGCGCAGAGCGGGGAATTTCTTCCCGGTGGTGCCTCTCTGCCTTCGCTCACCGGGACACGGCGGCACTGGGTGCTCAAGGAGCCAGCGTGCCCTTCCCAGTACGGCGATGATGGGCGCTTTCCTCATGGCCGCCCGACCTCCTCATCATGGCGCCGCCGCCTCGCCGTGCCCCGCCCAGATCCTGTTCGGCCGCGCAGGCGCAGAGGGGCCAGGACCGCCATTTCGTTCGGCGGGGCTGGGGCCGGGGCCGGGAGCGGCGGGAGGAGCCGCGGGTGAGCGGGGGAGGGCCGGGGGGGATCGGCGGGGCCGGGCCGGGGCTCGCGGGGCTAGGGGGGACGGGACTGCGGCCGCGGGACGCCTGTGTGGGGTGTGGTGCCGTGGGGTGGGCGCGTGGGGCCTGTGCGGAGCCTGGGACCGGCGGGGCTGGGGGCGCGCTGAGGCCTGCGCGGAGCTGGGGGGTGCCCGGGGCCGGCTGAGGGTCCTCGGAGCCGTCTGAGGGGTCCGCGGGGCCGGCTGTGGAGTGACAGGAACCGGCGAGGCCGGAGGGGCTGGAGCCCCCACAGGGACCCCCTGGACCGTGACCCCTGGGCCGCCTGTGGGATCTCCCACCTCCCTGACTCCTGGCTCACGGCAGGGACCCCTCCCCAGAACTGCCCTGGACCCCCAGCACGGGTGTGCCAGTGAGGGTGGGCTCTGTGGGCACCATGGGGACCCCCAGTCTGACCTCTGGGAGCCATCCCCAGGACGGGGCTCTGTGGGTCTGGGGGCTTGTGACCCCACTACCATGGGGACCCCCACTCTGACCTCTGGGAGCCATCCCCAGGACCCCCGTGGATCTCCACTGAGACCCCCATCCTGTCCTTGACCCCTCCACCCTGACCCTTGAGTTACGTGTGGGATCCCTCCCCAGGACCCTCCTTGTGCCCCCAGCCCTGGAACTGGCAGGACCAGTGGCCTGGGACCCCCTGGGATCCCCACACTGACCTCCTGGACTTCTCTACCCCTTCTTGGGCTCCTGTCTTTGGGTGGGCTGGCACCAGTGGGGCCAGGGGTCTGTGACCTCCACCCTGACCCCTCTGGGACTGTCCTGAGATACCTACCCTGACCCCTGGGGTCAGGAGGGGTCACTTCAGGGACCCCTCCCCAGGACCTCCAGAGCTGGCAGGGCTTGAGGGCCTGGGACCCCCACTGTGACTCCTGCCACCCCTCTGAGACCCCCATATTGATGCCCTGGACCCTTCCACCCCAACCTGGGGACCCACCATGGGGACTCCCAGCATGGAGACTGACCCCAGAGTGTCCCCTGGGGCTTCCCCTATGACCACCCCTCTGAGACCCCCATCTTGATGCCCTGAACCCTTCCACCCCAGCCTGGGGACCCCCAGCATGGAGACTGACCCCAGAGTGTCCCCTGGGGCTTCCCCTATGGCCTCTGAGACCCCCACCCCCTCCCCCCTGACTCCTAGGTCACTGCAGGGTCCCCTCCCCAAGACCCCCTTGGGGCTGTCCAGAACCAGCAGGACAGGGGCTGGGGACCCCCGGTGTGACCCCTGTGTCTACCTGGGACCCCTCCCATGACCCTTGGGACCCCTCCTATGACCCGTGGGACCCCTCTGCCCTTTCCAGGATCCCCCTGGACCCCCTCTATGACCCTCACACTGACTCCCAGGACCCCCTGGACCCCCACCCTGTGGGTGCCCAGAACCAGAAAGGGCTGGGGGTGCACTGGGGCCTGTCAGGACGGGGGGACCCTCTTTGGGGTACAGAAGGACCTTTTGGAGCCTGTGGTGGCTTAGGGATGACCACGGACACGGAGTTCCGTGGAATCCTGGAATGACTCGAGTTGGAAATGACCTTAAATGCCATCTTCCACTGGAAGGGGTTGTTCCAAGCCCCATCCAAGCTTGGAACACTTCCAGGGATGGGGCAGCCACAGCTTTTCTGGGCAGCGCTGGAGCTGAGTTGTCCCTCCCACTGCAGGGGGACGCATCCAGGACTCCCTGCTCCCGGTGCAGCACGGATGGGAGTGCCGGTGCACCGGGAGCGCTGCGGGATCCCGCTCTGTCTGTCGGGATCGCTGCACCCGGAATTCCCAGCTCCGGCTCGAAGGAACCGGGAAGTCCCCGCGTCTCCTGCCGCTTCCTCCCGCTGGAATAATTCAGCGCTTCCTGCCCAGCCCCTCGGTTCCTGCCCAGCCCCTCGTGTGCCACCTCTCCCTTCCCGGCTTCCTTTTGCCTCTTCGGCAAAGGGGGAGCGGCAGGGGAGGCTGCGGGCCTGGCAGGACGGGCTTTTCCTGCTTTTCCTTTTGCTGCAGCGGAATTTCGGGACAGGGTGCCTTGCTCCTGATTAAAGGTTTCCTCTGCTGGGTGACCTGAGATGAGATGTGAGCAAGGGACAGGCTGAGCCGGGAATGGGAAAATGAGGCCAAGGAAACTGTGGAGAGGAAAACGGAGGATGAGGAAGTTCCAGATGGGTAGGGAAACTGAAGTTGTGGAAGCTGTGTGTGGATGGGGAAACTGAGGCTGTGGAGCTCATCCCTGAGGAATTAGAAACTCCAGAGATCGGGGTTTTTGTTAAAAACGCCTCGTCAGAGCCCGCGGGTCGTTAATAATTCACAGGGAGCGTCTGGATCCCGCGGGGCCGGAGCGTGTCTGTCTGTCTGCACGCAGGGATGCGCCGGCTCCGCGGGATGCTCCAAATGGAGCTGGCAGCTCGGCTCGGGAAGCATGCTGATAGGATTTTAAAAGCTTGAATGACCTTAAATCCTGCGATGGCTGTCGCTCAGGATAAATTATTTATGTAGCATCCTCAGCTCCTCGGGAGCGGGCAGGAATGTCAGGCTGCTCTGGAGGACAGGGTTGGAATTTGGGAGGGGGTAACGAGGAACTGCGGGTTTGGATGGGAAGAGAGGGAAGATAAAGGCGCGGGGGCGGGTGTTGGAGAGGTCCAGCCTTGGAAGTCGTTCCCAAACCGGTGCGGCCGCATTTCTGCACCGACATCAGAGGGTGGAAATTCCTCTTGATCTGCAGTTCAAAGCCTCCCTGAGGATGAGGCGCTGCAGCTCGGGCTTGCAAATGTGAAATACAAATCCGCCCGGAGCCCAAATCCCCCTGAAAAGCGAGGAAATAGGCGGCTGAAGGTCACTGCTGCTGCCTGTCCTGCTCCAGCAGCAATCCCCCCGGGATGAGCGGGATGGGGGCTGCTGCTGGGGAGGGCGTTTCAATTCCCTCCACAGCACTCAGGGACTTGAAAAATGCCTGGAAAACGTGGCATGTCTCCCAGGCTGGGCCGGATCTGCCCAATCCTGCTGCTTTTAGGGGACAAGGGGCAGCTGAATGTCAAGTTCTTGGGATTTAGTAATGTTTTGATCCCAGGGCTGACAGGGAAGTGCTGATCCAAAACACTCCTGAGGCGTCTGTGGCCATGGTGGGCTCAGCGTGTGGAACAGCAGCTCTGAAACAGCTTTCCACAGGGTGACCTCGATCTGCTGATCTCTCCCTCCTCCCAAGGGACAGCTTTTCACACCTTGTTTTCCTCCTGCTTTGCTCAGAGCTTTCCTGAGGTTTGGTTTGGATTGGAAAAGCAAAGGCACTGTGTAAACCTGCCCCTCCTGCCTCAGCCCAGCTTTTATCCACTGGTGTGTCTGGATTCAGCCACTTTCCCTGCGAGCACAGGGAGCTGCCACCACAGCTTGTGGAGCCCTCAGAGGCTCTGATGTGTCTTGGTGGAAAGGTCCTGGTAGGGAAGAACAAAGGAGAAGGAGTGCAGAGAAGTCTGAGTGTTGTTCACAGGGATAGCTTCTGCCAGGCATGAAGGGGTGCTGGGAGGAGAACTCCCCCCCCTTTTTTCTTTTCCTGGAGGATTTAGCTCCTGTCTCCCTAATCTGTATCAGCTGGGTCTGTCTTCTTGCACATGAAAGATCCAGGCTGTATTTCAAAGGCACCGTTCCCACCCGGAGCTCTCAGCTTTTCCCAGCCATGTGCTGAGTTCGGGGCCTCTCGATTTTGGTTTTTCAATGTGACCTTTGCTGTTAATCCCCAGCCCAAACGGGGCCGTGCACCGAAATGGAATGACCTGTTTCTTGGGAATTCAGCTCCAGTTTATCCTCAAGCTGCTTTAGCTTAAACTCTTCTCTCCTTTCCTCTCGCTCTTCTAGGTAAGAGCCTGGATCTGAGTGCAGGTTTTGCTGTAAGGGCACCTTAGAGGGGAGATAGTGACTCGTGATCTGTTTATAAAAATACCCCCCTTGTCCTGCAGGTCCCTGTGGATTGTCCCTGTGGATTGTCCCTGTGGACTGTCTGGAGCCTGTCGCAGGGTGTCAGCAGGTCACACTGAGAGACCCCAGCAGTGCTGGCCTGGCACTGGATGGTTTGTGCCAACTGACAAATCCCTGTTTGTCTCTCTGTGAGATGAATTGCTGTCACAGGGGCCACTGAGGGAAGTGTCACCCTGGGAGGAACCAGCTGGCACAGGAGCAGAGCGGGGACACAACGCGTGACGTTCCCGTGGGTCGGAAGGTGGTGGCCCTGGCATCACTCCTGTGCTGGCTCAGGGCTGTGACACACGAGCCCGAGTCGGGAGTCTCATTACCTGGCGTGTTCCTCAGCTGGATCCCTGCTAATTCCCTCCGGCAGCTGATCCAGCACGGCTGGGGCTCTGCCCGGAGCCACTCGTGCCACCCTGGCCCTGTGATCCCACTGCGGGTGGGAAGGAGCACAGGGAAAAGTGTTCCTGTTCCAACATGTCCCAGACGAGCACGTTCAGAGCTGTCTGTGATCCTGCTCCAGTGGGAAAGGCTGAGGCTGGATGGGTTTGCTGGGTGTTGTTCCTGACTGGAGTGTCCGGGGGGATCGATGGATCTCAGATCTTGGGTGGGAGGCCTCAAGCTCGGCCTGGGGAGAAGGAGCAGCATGTTTGTTATGGGAGAGCACTGGGGAGCTGGGAGCCTCAGGGACTTGGAAAATGCCATGAGATAGAGGGAGGAATGTCTTCCTGATGAAGCTGTAGCTGAGGACTTCTCACAGGGCAGAAGAGCTGATTTTAATTAAAAGGCAGTTTAGGTATTTATTTATTTCCCTGAAGCCTAGAGCCAGTGGTTTGCCCGAGGGCAGGGGAGCTGCTGCTGTGGCAGCCATGCTGCTGCTCCCTGCTTCCCGTTCTCACACCCTGGGAATGTCTGACAGAAGATGGACCTGTGTCCTGTGGGATTAGGAAGTTGTAGTTTATCTAGCAGGAGGTGAGTGTGAGAAGGGATCTGGTTGGTAATACCTGGTACAAACCTGAGTCATAAAGGAACTTTCCCTGCAGTGGCAGCTGTTCCCGTGCCCTCTGTCACCTGTCCTGGAGGTCAGGGCTCGGAAATCGGGAGTTTCAGGTGTGAAACTGCCCTGTCCTTTCCTCCTGTTGGTGGTGTGGTTCCCGTTAGTGACTGTGGAATAGGTTTTCCTGTGGGAAGGACATCTGTGGCCCAGAGAGGGACATTTGTCCCGTGCCTCAGGGTCTGCCCTGAGCTCCTGGGACTCTCCATGTGGTGAGCAAGGCCTCCAGTCATCACATTCCTATTCCCTGAGCCGGTGCTATGGGAGGCCCTACCTGAGCTCTGCTGTCAGCAGCACGAGGGCCTGTGACTTCCCAGTGATTCAGGCTCCCCTTCCTGTCCCCAGTCCCTCTGTGTTCCATCTCCAGTGCCGACTGGAGCTATCGGGCCCCGCGGAGCTCTTCCAGGTGAGCCCTGGTGCCAGACAGGTTCGTTCTGGGCTTCTGAGGAGTTGGAGCATTGCCAGATCTGTGCTGGGAAAGCTGGTTTCCCTGACTGCTTGGACAGCTTCGAGGGGGTTTTGGAGTTGTGGGGCACAGAGAGCCTTCAGTGCTGGGGGGTTATTGATGTAGGAGACAAGAGGTTGGGAAATTTGGGGGTGGGAGCCACAGGGCAGTCCTGTGCTGCTCTGGCTGCTGTGGAGCTGGAGCACTTTGGCAGATTTGCCCTGGCCATGGCTGGAGAGGCCATGGGGCCACATGCCAGTGCTGGCGGGCTACTGTCACACTCCAAGTGAGCAGCCTCTGGCTGCAGCTGGAGGAGCTGGATGGATGGTGCAGGATCAGCTTGGCCAGATTTTGTCTCTCAGACGAGGTGGTTGTGTGAGACAATTCCTGGGTTTGGACTGCAGGCACTGTGGGAGCCCTGGGGATTTGGGGTGGGGATGTGCTGGCTCCCACCTCTGTCACCTGCTGCTCCAGGGTGTTGGGACAGCCTGGGAGAGCAGCTCCAGCTGCTGCTCTGCATGGGCACAAGACACCAGCACAATTCCCCGGGGCCGTGTTTCACTGCTGGCTTTTCCCTGACCGCTTCCTCCCTTCCTGCAGGCATGAGTGCCCAGGCCTGCCCCCAGCACTGAGACCCCGGAGCCGCCAGGATGCCGATCCCTCCTCCCCCGCCGCCGCCCCCCGGCCCCCCGCCGCCCCCCACCCTCAGTCAGGTAGGTGTCACCTCGCTGGGCTGGGAGGTGGCCTGTCCCCACATGGGGCCACTTGCCAGAGGAATTGCCCCTGGAGAAGGCTGGCTGTGGCAGGGGTGGGATGCTCTGCGAGGTGGGAATGCGGAGCTGGGCTGTTGCTGTGCTGGGGGGTCCTGGGGAGGTGCTGAGCTGCTGCTCCTCTCCAGGCGAACACAGAACCGCCCAAGCTGAGCCGAGAGGAGCAGCGGGGCCGCGGGGCCCTCCTGCAGGACATCTGCAAAGGGACCAAGCTCAGGAAAGTGACCCAAATCAATGACCGGAGTGCACCCATCCTGGAAAGTGAGTCCCCAGGAGGCTGCCGGCCCCACGCTGGGCGCCGCCGTACCCTTCAGGGCGCTTGCCCATCTGGTTCCCAGCAGCTCCTCATTGGAGGAGCGGATAATTCCAGGCTTAACCTCTTTGCCTCCCTGCTTTCAGAGCCCAAGGGCAGCGGCGGCAGCAGCTACGGCTCCGGCTCAGCTGCCATCCAGCCCAAGGGCGGCCTCTTCCAAGGCGGCGTTCCCAAACTCAGACCTGTGGGAGCCAAGGACAGCTCAGGTAATGGCCACTGGCCCGTCGTCTGTGTGGGGGTCCCTGGGGAGGGCCCTGGGCAGGAAAGGGTGGAGGATTTGATTGTGTATCCCTGGGGATTTCAGCTGCTAAGAGGCAGGACCCCAAATCATATCCCATGTGTGGCTCAGGCCAGCTGTGCCCTCCCCGAGCCTCAGCCCCACACACAGATTTCTTGGAGGGCTCAGGAGTTGCGTGTATTGCTGAACTCTGTGTGTTCTCTGTGGTGGCCACAGAGTAGAGTGGTGAGAGAGGAGCCATGTGTGGCTGTGCTCAGTGCCAGCTCCCTGCGTGTGCCAAACATCCGCCCCTGGCCGTCCCTGTGGCCTGGCCCTCCTTGGCCGTGGCTCTGAGCCCTGTCCTGGGACTGCTCCCGTGCTGTCCCCAACCCCTCACTGTGCTCTCTCCTTCCCCGCAGACAGCTCCACTAAACAAACACTACAAGTCCCTGGCTCCCGAGCAGCTGCTCCCAGGCCCCCCGTGCCGGCCAGCAACAGCCGCCCTCAGGACGATGCCGACAGCAGCCGGGGGTCCCCACCGGAACTGCCGCGCACGCAGAGACCCTCCCTGCCTGACCTGTCCCGGCCCGGCACCGCCGGTGGCACCGGCATGAAGCACAGCTCCTCGGCCCCGCCGCCCCCGCCGCCAGGACGCCGCGCCGCCGCCCCCCCGGCCCCACCTCCAGCGCACGCCAAGGCCTCGCCCTACAACCGGGAGAAGCCGCTGCCGCCCACCCCGGGACAGCGCCTGCCCGGCAGCAGGGACGGACCCCCTGCCCCGCCGCCCATCAAGCCCCCTCCTTCCCCCGTCAGCCTCCGCTCGGGCACTCAGTCTCTCGCCCCGCCACCTCCCCCTTACCGGCAACCCCCCGGTGTTCCCAACGGCCCCTCCAGCCCCAGCAGCGAGTCGGCCCCGGAGCTGCCGCAGAGACACAACTCCTTGCACAGGAAGGCGCCCGGGCCCTTGCGGGGTCTGGCACCGCCGCCGCCCACTGCTGCCTCCCCGTCCCTGCAGAGCAGCCGCCCCCCGCCGCCGGCCAGAGACCCCCCGAGCCGTGGAGCAGGTAAGAGCCGCTCGCTCCACGGTGCCTGGGGACGGCTGGGGTGGTCAGGGTGGGAGGTGACAGGCAGGAGTTGGCCTCGGGGCACAGTGAGTCTTCTGCATGTGGTGATGGGGCCGAGCTGGGGCAGGAGTTGGAGTGCCATGTTTAACACATGTCCTTAGTCATGTCCCATGACCATCCAGCTCCTTCCAAGCGTGGTGCTGGCGGTGGGTTGTGGCTGGGCAACTCCTGCCCGTGCTCTCCTGGGGTGAGAGATGAGAATGTTTGAGAGCATAGCTCCCCTGAGCTTTCTAAATGTCACTGGGAGGGTGCAAAAAGCTGTGGCAGAGCAGGGAGAAGCCTTTCCCTGCGTGTGCAGCCCTCGGGAGTGTGTCCCCGTGGCTGGGACTGGTGTTGGCTGTGCCCTGGTGCCCCCCCGTGCACTCCTGGGCTCCCCGTCCAGACCGCAGCTCCTGCCTGGGCCCCTGCCAAGCCGCTCCGTCCTTCTGGCCCTGCCAGAATCCCTCCTCAGAGCTACAGCTGGGGATCTGCGCTGTCAGCCCGAGTGTAATTAGGCTAATGAGGAGCACAAACTGCCACGGAGCCTCTGCGGGAGGCTGGGCAGGAGTGAGAGGTGGGTCAGAGGGGCTGTGGGTCCTGTCACTGCCTTGGTGACACTGCGGATGTGGCTTCCAGTCCTGGCAGGCAGCATCTTGGCTCCATGTGGAGCTGCTGCCCTTGGACTCTCTGGATCGTAGCTGCTCCTGGGATCCCCTCTGGTGCAGAGTGACCTGTGCTCCCTGTGGGCTGGGAGCTCATGGGGCTGGAACAGCCCCTGGGATGGATGGTGAGCCATGGGGCAGCAGGGCTGGCTGTGGTCCCTGCTGTGGTCCCTGCACTGCAGCTGGTGGAAGGATGAGGAATGCAGATGTCAGGAGCGAGCAGGAAATCTCCGGGCACGCGTAGGAGCATCCCTGGGCCGCGGTCTGGCGCGGCAGCTGGCCTGGAACGCTCCGGGGGATGTCCCTGGGTTTGCCCCGGGAATGCCGCGCCGGGCTGACCCCGCTGTCCCTGCAGCTCCGCCGCCCCCGCCGCCGATGCTGCGGAACGGAGGGCGCGACGCCCCCCCGCCCCCACCCCCCTACAGACTGCACGGCCCCGCCGAGCCCCCCAGCCGGGGGAAGCCCCCGCCGCCACCCACCCGGACCCCGGCCGGGCCCCCGCCGCCACCGCCGCCCGTGCGGAACGGGCACCGGGACTCCATCTCCACCGTCAGAGCATTCCTGGGTGAGTGGGACCCCCCCTCGCAGCCGAGCCCTGTGGCTTTGGCCAGGCTCCCCCAGAGCCCCTCTCCCTCACCTGCCCCTTCTGCCATTTCTTCACAGATGACTTTGAATCCAAATATTCCTTTCATCCCGTGGAAGACTTCCCAGCCCCAGAGGAATATAAATACTTCCAGAGAATCTACCCCAGCAAAACAAACAGAGGTGAGGAGGGTGTCCCGAATTCCCTCTCCCCTCCTGTGCCCTCGGGGCTGGCACTGTCCTGTTTGTCCCTGCGCAGGGTGGGTGGTGCAGTGGCCATGCCCTGGGCCCTGCTGGCATTCTGGGGGTGCTGAGCCCCGTTCCCAGGGGTCCCACGCCCTGAAGGCAGCTCTGTGCTGTGGGGCAGGGCAGAAATTTGGGCTGTGCGGATGCCCTATCCCACCTGCTCCTGGTTTGCCTGCTGGGAAATGCTGCAGAGCTCATTCCTGCCTTTGCTGAGCACGTTTGGCACCGGAGGGGATCTCGAAGGACCCCGCAGCCAGGGCAGGGGCTGGGGGGCCGCAGACCCTCCGTGTACCCCAGGATAAGCCCCGAGCAGCAGCGTTTGGACCCGGCAGAGCTCAAAGTGCCCTTGGTGCTGCACGTCAGCGCTGCGGATCCCGGCGGAGACTCCGGGGAGAATGGGATGCTCGTTTATTTTTAGAGCCATGAATGTTTAATGCGGGTTTGAAAAGCCCCGAGCTCGGTGCGGCTGCAGCGGCTGCTGCCAGGCACAAATCCCAGGCTCCAGATCTCCGCGGGGAGGTCGGGGGGGGCCGGCAGCTGGCGCGGGGGTGTGGAGGAGGGAAAGCAGACGTGCTGGATCCGGCTCTGCGGAGCTGCCACTTCCAACAGGCTTCCTTCTCTTCCAGCTACGCGTGGGGCTCCCCCTCTGCCCCCCATCCCCAGGTGAAAGCAGGCTGTGCAGGTGGATTGTTCCAGAGCAGAGACATGGAGCTCCTTCCCCTTCCTCAGCCGGACCCCCCCAGCTCCCAGCGCCCCGGATCCTGCATGACACACTCCCAGCCTCGCCGGTTTTCCCAGGACAAGTGGATCCCCTCCCAGTCCAGCGTGCTGCTCCGCCAGCCCCGCCTCATCTATGCGCCCCCCAGGAGTTGGTGACCTCATGGCAAGCCTGGATGGGTCCATCCCTCATTCCTCCTCATGGATCCTGGGTCGGGATCTGCCTGGGAGCCGGGCATGGGACTTGAGGCCGAGCCGTGTGCCGGCTGTTGGGACCAGGGGGGCTCAGGGAGGGGGGCTGGGGTCAGGCAGGGGATGGACATGCTGTGAGACCCCCCAGAGCGAGGGGAAGCAGGGACAGGCCGGCGGAGCCTCGTTATCCTGGTGGAACCCTGTTATCCCAGCACAGCCCATTGCTTTTTTGCACAGGAGCCAGTGGAGGCAGGGGGGAACATGAGTAGGACCATGCAGGGACACCCCAAGAGCTGCTGGGGACTCCCTTTCTCTGACCCCACAGGGGGGCACCCCCATGTGCCCCCCTCAAAACCACTGCTCCCCTGGGATTCCCCTGGCTCTCACTGCTGACTCTCCCCAAACTTGAGCATTTTAACAGGAAAACACTAATTACATGGTGGGGGGAGCTCTTTGTGCTGGGTCTGGCACACCAGGGGGCACGTGGGGGGGCCCTGGGGGCCGGTGATGTTTTGCCTTACACTCCCTGTCCTGGGGTGGTCCCAGCCCCACGGCGGGGGTCCCACTAACGTAGTTACTGATCTCTTTGTACCATAGCAGGAAGGGCACGGGGGGCAGGGGGGCCACCCCTGCAGACGGGTTTGGGGCTCATTCAGGGGATTTTTTTCTATGATGATGGACCTTCCCCTGCTGAGGCTGGAGCGAGGTGGGTGAGGGGTGAGTAGGGGGGTTTCTCTGGAGAATGAGCCCCCTCCCCCAGCACTGCCCTTTGGGTTAAATAAAGGTTCAAAACGGTTCTGCCCCTCCTGGAGCGAGGGGCCCTTTTTAAAGGGAACAGAGGAATTTGGAGGAGCTGGAAATTACATTTAAATAAAAGTAATAAAGTGATTAATGATATCAAGGACACTGTCTAAGGGGGAGGTTCCCAGGAACCCCTTTTCTTTCTTGGAGGTGATGCCCTAAGGGCTGGGAGCAGGGCGCTTCGGCACACAGGGTGGAGGGTGTTGAGAGCACAGAGAGGAAGTAGGAAGGCAGGATCGGAGTTACTGGTGGCACTGGGACCACTGGGAATGAGGATTGTGGGTAGTGGGAGCAGGGGGAGGGGGGATTGGCACGTGTGGGCGCTGGGAGCATGGGGGAAGCGTGATGGGGCGTACTGGGAGGAAGGGTGGGGAGCGTGGAGAGACAAGACTGGGCGGTGGTAAAAAAGCAATATAGGAGGAACTGGGGTCACTGGGAGTACGGGGAAGGCGAGGTTGGGGGTGCGGGCCGTGGGGGCACGGGGAGCGCTGAGTACCGGCAGGGAGACCACATCTCCCAGCATGCCCCGCGCCCCGCGCTCGGCGCCTTCCGCCCTGCCTAGGCTGCGCTCGCTGATTGGCTGCTCTGTTGAGATTCTTCCTCCGGCCGCGACGATTGGCGGCGGCGGCAGCGGAGCAGCCAATGGGACGAAGGGGGCGGGGCCAGCTCGGCCTGGTGGCGGGAAGTGCGGAGCCGGGGCTGATTTGGCGCGAGAAGGTCGGTGGAGGCAGCGGGGGGACCCGGGGGGACATGGGGGGACATGGGGGACGGGGGGGCCAGAGACGGGGGCAGCGCGGTGGGGACTGGGACTGGAGGGGCAGGGGATGGCCGGGACCCGCGGGGCTGGCGGTCCTTCTCACCTGGCCGGGGTCCCGCCGTCTGACCGCGGTTCTCCTGCAGCCGTAGCCCCCGCCATGGCCAGCAGCAAGAGCCAGCCCACCATCGACTTCCCCCGCACCAGGAGAGCCCGACTCCTCGCTGCCCCCTCGGCCAAGAGCGACCCCGACTCCCGTGCTCTGCGTTCCAAGGCCTCGGGACCCGCCGGCTCCGGCCAGGCCACCCCGGACACACGCTCAGGCCGGACCGCAGCGCAGCCCCTGAGCCCCAAAGTGCAGCCCCTGAGCCCCCGCAAACGCCTGGGTGAGTCCCTCCGCCGGGTCCCCCCATTTCGGCTTCACCCCCGTTTCGGGAGGAAAAGCTGCTCCCGCGAGGTTTTTGTGGAGGCTGAAGCATTAAGGGAGAGTGGCCCTTTGTCACCACCAGCTTGTTGTCCCCGCAGGTGATGACAACCTGTGCAACGTCCCCCACGCCTTACCTTGCTCCCCGGCCAAACGCAGCAAGGAGAACCGGGGCCGTCGCCTCCTCTTTGGGGACCCCTCGGCCTCCCCCGAGCAGCCCAAGGGCTCGGGGCCATCCCCACGGAGCGGGGGGCCAGAGATCCCTCGGAGCTCGGGGCTCAGCAGGCAGCAGCCACGCAGCCGGCTCTTCAGGCAGGAAGGTGGGTGTGGGGTTGTGAGTGTGGGCAGGGCTGGGCATGGGGTTATGGATGGGATTGTGAGTGTGGATAGGGCTGGGGATGGGATTGTGAGTGTGGGCAGGGCTGGGCATGGGGTTACGGATGGGATGGGATAGGGATAAGGATTGGGAATATGGATAGGGATGGTGATAGGGATGGAGGAAAGGATGGGGATGGAGATAGAGCCAGGATTAGGGATGGCTATATGGAACTAGAGATAGATATGAAGGCAGAGATGGGGATGGGGACGTGGATGGGAATGGAGCCAGGGTTAGTGATGGCTGTAGGAGTTAGGGATAGGTATGAAGGCAGGGATGGGGATGGGGACATGGATGGGGATGGAGCCAGGGTTAGGGATCCTGTAGGAGTTAGGGATAGGTATGAAGGCAGGGATGGGGGGTATGGGGTTATGGATGGGGTTATGAATGTGGGCAGGGTTAGGGTTATGGATAGGATTGTGAGTGTGGATAGGGCTGGGCATGGGGTTATGAGTGTGGGCAGGGCTGGACATGGGGTTATGGATGGGATGGGATAGGGATGGTGATAGGGGTCGAGTTGAGGATGGAGGAAAGGATGGGGATGGAGCCAGGGTTAGGGATGGCTGTAGGAGTTAGGGATAGGTATGAAGGCAGGGATGGGGATGGGGACATGCATGGGGATGATGCTCAGTTGGGATGGGGTCCCAGCAGTGTCTCCTCCCTCCCTGAGTGCTCTTGCTCCCCGTGCAGGTACCTGTTACCAGCAGGCCAAGCAGGTGCTGCATGCGTCCGTGCCCGAGCGGCTGCAGGGCAGGGAGCAGGAGACGGGGATGCTCCGGCAGTTCCTGCTGGAACACGTCCTGGAGCGCCGTCCCGGCAGCCTCTACGTGTCCGGAGCCCCTGGGACTGGGAAAACAGCCTGTCTGAGCCGTGTTCTGCTCGACTGCAAGGTGTGTGCCATGGCCACGCTGTGGGGCTGCTGTGGGGCACTGGGATGGGGCCAGTGTAACGTTCCTGTTCCTCACAGGACAAGCTGGCTGGCAGCAGGACTGTGGTGCTGAACTGCATGGCACTGGGCAGCCCCCAGAGCGTCTTCCCTGCCCTGGCACAGCAGCTGGGGCTGCCCGTGGCCGCTGGCCGGGAGTGTATCCGGAGCCTGGAGAAGCATCTGAGGGCCCAGGGACCCATGGTGTGAGTTCCCTGGCTCTGGTGGGTGGAGTGGGACTCTCCTGGATGCCAGGAGAGGCAGGCTGGCAGCAGCTCTGCTCTCCCTGCTTGGAGTGCTGTGAGGGGAGAGAGCAGGGGTTGATCTGAGATCTCCCACAGCCTCCTGGTGCTGGATGAGCTGGACCAGCTGGAGAGCAAAGGCCAGGATGTGCTCTACACCCTCTTTGAGTGGCCCCAGCTGCCCAGCTCTAGGCTCGTCCTCGTGGGTGAGTGTGCAGGGTGTAGAAGGGTGCACTACTGCCCTGGGCATCCTTTGGGGGTGGTGATGGAGACTTCCCTTTGCAGCCTCCTCCTGCTCCTTCCTTGGAGAACAGCCCTCATCCTCCTCTTCCTCTCGCCCTGCAGGGTTGGCCAATGCCCTGGACCTGACAGACAGGAGCCTGGCCAGGCTGGGAGCCCACCTGGCTGGCAGGCCCCAGCTGCTGCACTTCCCACCCTACACCAAGGAGCAGCTGACCCTCATCCTGCAGGAGCGGCTGGGACAGGTGGGGACACGGGGAGCACAGAGTGGGGGGACACAGGGTCCTCTGCCCACATGGATGGCAGCACTGATGGCCCTGGTGCCTCACAGGTGGCAGGTGACCCCGTCCTGGACTCTGCTGCCCTCCAGTTCTGTGCCCGCAAGGTCTCTGCAGTGTCTGGTGATGCCCGCAAGGCCCTGGATGTCTGTAGGTCAGTGTGTGCCCCAAAACCCGGTGCTGCCAGGGCCAGCTTGGTCCCTGTGAGTCTCTGTGGCTTCCCTGCTCGTGCCAGGGGAGCCAGCTCGGCCTGGCACTCAGGGCTGTCCCTCCCCAGGCGTGCTGTGGAGGTTGTGGAGCTGGAGGTGCGAGGCCAGACCCTGCTCAAGCCGCTGCCCGGGGGTGAGTCCTGCTGCCAGAGCCAAAACCCTCTGGGGTCACCTCAGTGGGAGTCTGGGCTCCCTTTGTGGGACACCTCTCTCCCTGTCCTCACCTCCGTGGCATCCCCTCTCTCTGTCCCACAGGTGACTCGCCAGTGTCCCCTGTCCCCAAGCGCGTGGGGCTCCTGCACATCTCCCGGGTGCTCTCGGAGGTGTTTGGGGACCGGCTGGCAGCGGGGTCCCGGGGCTCCCAGGACACCTTCCCTCTGCAGCAGAAGCTGCTGCTCTGCTCCCTGCTCCTGCTTGCCCGGCACTCACACGCCCGTGAGGTGACCCTGGGGAAGGTGAGTGGGTGTGGGACCCTCTCAGGGTGTCCCTGGGGTGTCCCTTGGGGGTTTTGCTGTGGTCTAACCCCCCCCGCCCTCCCCAGCTCCACGACACCTACAGCCAGGTGTGCCGGCGCCAGCAGCTCCCCGCCGTCGACCAGGCCGAGT